CCTAATGTCAGGTCTATGAGCATAGACAGCGAAATGTTCTAAATCTAGAGTAGGCTTCATGATCCTGCAACATATGTCCATGGAGGATTCAAAGTTCTATCCTTATACTTCAACATTCCTTTTAGATCGTGTTTCACAAAAAAACGAGATTATTGTGTTTGAAGATGAAAAAAATGTTCACCTTTAGTATCAACGCATAGTTTTCGAAAAATTCGAACTTCAGCTGAAAGACTAATCACTGAACAACGAATTTCATTTTCTTTACAAGTCTAAATAAATAAATCAATCGATAAAGATGACTTAAAAAAAAAGAGCTATACTTTAATTGTTTGTAAAATATTTCCAGGATCACATGTTGTTAAACAACCAAGTACAAAAAGCATTTCACGACTAGAATATTTTGGCATATGTCTAAGAAAAAGAATAACTCATTAGAAATATTATTATAGAACTTTTTTAATAATTACTTTAATGTTTGTAATCCCATTTCAAGTGCATTTTGTATTGATGCTTCACCTTCACATTCTTGATATTTTAATTGTTCAAGTAATGCAATATGTGAACGTGGATTACCAGCTAATTCGCTTATTTTCTCTGTACGTTTCTTTCGTGTTATGATTATACCTATTTGAGATATTGGATTTGAATCAAAATAAAGAACAATAAATTCTTTTAATAGCTAAAAACAAAAATAAGAATAAAGAAACAACGAACAAAAAGGTTTTTTTTTATCAACTTCAATAGAACAAAATAGTCGATTTGGTCGAAGATCTTGATCTTTCATTGCATCTGACATATCGAGAACCACATAAAGATGACGCATCTAGATCAAAACAAAACAATCAAATAAAATCTTAGATTTTGTTGAAATATCGAACCATGCCAAGGCGAACATTAGGTAATTGTGCCAATTCTTTACGTCGATTTTTCTGGTTAATAGCATTAACAGTAGCTGTAATTGAACCACTTTCATCTTCTTGAATAACTTCCCTGTAAAAATAGACGATTGATTTAATAGTTTCTATTCAATAATGTCTTTTTTCTGAACTATATTATTTACCAAGTTCTTTCATAACCTGATTCCCAACGATATTGATCATCATTTTCATCCATTTTTTACCAATAAATCTAAAAATTTCCTTTTCAATAGACAAGTTTAAGCAAGATGTGTACACAGAAAAAACTTGATTAAATATTCTTCATATATCTATCACAGAGTATCTTTGGTATCCATAATTCACCTAAAACGATAATAATGTACCAACAGGATTATGAAACACAGAGTGTCGCTGGCAGACGGTGACGATAAAAATAAGATAATTGAAATGTTAAATTGCAATTAAATCGAACAATATATTTTGAGGCTCTAACATAGAAAGTATAAGTATCATCTGATCAATTTTTATAATAGCTCAATATGCTATTTGACTACAATCCATGAATTTCGATTCTATTGCTTGATGTTCTCATTTTCATTTTAACAACATTAAATTGAATTTGTTTTCTAAGAATCTAGTGACATGTTTTCAATATTACATTGAGATAAAAGTTCAAAAATCTACGTGTAAAAATTTGTTTTACTATCTTGACATAATTGAAAATCGCTATTTTTATGTCGCGATGATCTGAAAATTGAAGAGTTGCATGATTTTTATTTAAAGATTGTTACAAAGTTTCATATTCGTGTAAGATCAAATTTTTTCGGAGACTTCGATTTAAAGCTCCCTTCATTCTTAATTTATTCCACAAAAATGACGATTTTGAAATATCCTTTGAAGTATTTGTTATATCGAAGATCAGTAATTGAAATTAAAATGACGCATCTGTCAGTTTCGTACTTTAAAAAAACAAAACATGAGTCGTTATAACTACACATGAATACAATTGATCTAGTGCCATCAAAGTATATGTCTGTTTTACATGGATTAAACAATCACCATACCATCCTATGCTAGACTTGATTGACTTTTCAGTGAAAAAAAGCAAATCTTGAGGGTGGGGTGTGGGTGTGGGTGCGTGTGCAGGTGTTCTCTTCATCAGCCCTCATACTTACACTCCCACTCGACACCCACACCCACACCCACACCCTTCCCTCGTAAGAGGAAGAAGGGATCTTTACCTTTTAACTTCAAATTTATGTTATTCGATGTGTTGTATTGTACTTTTCTTCATCAAGCACTATCTCCCAAGAGACCAATTCGTTTGTCTGTCCTAACTCGTCATTTTGTGGAAGAACGAAAATAAACAGGAATATCAAAAAAGCGATTGTTATTTTATTTAAAATATTTCATGAGTGTTAGAGTAATGTCTATCATTTTGATTGATAAGATGGAATTTCATGAAAATTGTTTTTCCTTATTACAATCGACTTCAACAAAGCCGTTTAGCTGCTTTTGAGTTATGAAAAAAATAAAGTGACTATGTCCTAGACAAGAATAAACAATAGAAATACCAAATAAATGCCCTGGCACTCTCTATATCCTGAAAATTTTCAGTAATAAAAAAGATGAATTTATTGATGAAACTCTAAGTCTATTATTTGTTTTGTACAATGCATGAAAGTGGATAATACAAGAAATCAAATTAAAATTCAACTCCAGATTCTCTTCATTCTCTGTAGCGCTTTAAATATCTTTAATGGTAGTTATTCTAAGAATTCTATTTAAGTTCCTTTGAAGAATTCGTCTTTTTCATTAAAAAGAAGAAATTCAATGGAATGTAATTAAGCTTCTCCTATCACTTTCAATGCAATGCATAATAACGAGCGTTTTGAAATATATGCTGTAAGTACGCATTGGTCAAGCATATTGACGATTTAACTGAATCGTTGCCAATCATTCAAATTTTGTAATTGATTATTGCATATTACGCAATATGTCTTCAAATTAACTTATGATCGACCAGTTTTTTCAAAAATATTAAGAACTTCAGAAGACTAAACGGTAAAACTATGCTTTCTTCAAGTAACAATAGTTTAAAGATGAGAGAAGCCTATCTGATATCGGTCATATCTATCAGTAATAGGATTTAATCGACTACACACATTGTGAACTGAGAGTAAAATAGTTTGTCTATCAAGATAGTCCAGGATACGATAGACAAGGTGCATTGATAGTGTCAGGAAATGTGCAGAACTTTTTTCAGACATTAATTGTGGTTGGTTTCGAGTAATGTATTTTGTTAAAATAAATGTTTACTAAAATCTATTTATCTTTATTCTAATATGTTCGTTGACCATGTATCCTCGAAGTTGATTATAACTGCACAACCCATTTTAAAGACAAGTCGCTGATATGACTGGATTGCCGCAAACATAAAGAAAAATAAAATTCGTTAAAACATACATGAGTGAAGAGCACAACCATTGTACCGTTTGAAGAAAAAATTGAAAAAAAATAAATTTCCTAATAAAAGAAAACTAAATGCTGTGTTTGATAGAGCGATGTCAAATATATATAAAAACAATATTTTCCCAACACTTCTCTATGCCTTGGTGGAGATTCACTATATTACAGTCAATTTCTGGATGCCATATTCATATATCCCAACAGTCGTAGTGTATATAATTACCCAATAAAGTCATTCAATACTTTGTTAGTAAAACTATTTTACGTGTCAAAATATGTTTCCTCGTATTTCTCTTTGATATTCAATAAAGTTTTTTGTAAATAAAATTGGTTTAAACAATATCCCGACAATCTTAGTCTCGCTCTACACGTTTTATCATAAAAATCTCGCTCTACACTTTCTTAGTAAAACTGAATTTTCTTTTGAACGGAGAAAGATTTTTGCTTGATTTTTTGGGATATTACTCTACTCTATGAAATGAAAAAATGATCAAATTTTTGTTGTAAACGGTTTAGTTTTCATTAAGTTATAGCAACAACAAAATTTAAAATCTCGCTCTACATATTGTGTGAACATAGCTTTTTTTAAATTTGTATAAAAATTTTGTATTAACAAAGTATATGAAATGAACTTCTTTTACTTGTTAAATTATTTTTCCCGCTCTCTCTTTCATATTCAATAAAATTTGTTCCAAATAAATTTCTCCAAATTGAAAGCCAATGATTTTAATCTCGATCTACACAAAAAGAAAGTGTCTTAACGCCTCTTATTGATAGTTTTCCATCCATAAAACTCTATCTAGAGCTAAAACTAATGACATATTTTAAAAGCTCTCGACGAGTTCTACAAGTCTAGCTATAACAAAAATTTTTTAAAAATCTCAATGTAATAAAAAAATTGATTTTCTTCCGTCAGAAGCGTTAAAAAGCTAATATTTAGCATTGTTACTATGATTTCGCAGAAACTAAAACAGCTGGAAACTTGATTTTTTCAGAAGTGAATGGCCATCTTTAGACCAACAAACAAAAAAAAATTATTAAAATCAATTGAGTAGAACTCGAGTTATAGGCATTTTTCTTTTCGGAATACAACGGTACAATGGCTGTGCTCTTCACTCATATATTTATAATCGATACGATAAAATTGTTAATGAAAAAAAATTCAAATGACGTTAATGATTTATCTAATCAAATGATCAATGGAAAAGATCTAAATATCAATTATCTGCTGATAATATGCATTATGTCCTACTTCAGATGATCTACACAATGATCATAAAGAGAAGTAAGACGTTAATTTTATATAGAGATACGTTGATATAATGATAGCTGTTCAACAATCACAATGCTCGAGGGAGAGTAAAGAACTTTTTTCAATCGGTTTAAAACAGAATTTTTGTAACTATGGATGAACGCTAAAAGTTTGTTTTAACGAAAAAAACGACTATGTATGCGTGTCTAGACGATTTTTCTTTCCAAAAAAAAATCAACCATTCAAGTTTATTTTACATTGTTCGTCGAATAATTACATGACCTGCCGGACATAAATATACACAATGATCATTCGCACATAAATTAAGGTCATACATACATACATACATATATATATATATTGAAAAAATGTCTGTACAGAATAGATTGAATAGAATAAGAATGAAGAAGATTACATTTGAATCATTACCTAATGAACTTTTACTGATGATATTTTCTTATTTATCTTTCATTGATCTTTGTCAATTGTTTCTTGATTTAAAAAATGCTCGTCTTGAACGTCTTCTTACTTCTAAATATTACTCATTAGATCTTAGTTCAATATATTTTAATCAATTACGACAATTTCTCAGTAGTAGTAACGATAAAATAAATCGTTTGACTACTTTGATAGATACAGTTGTAATTTGTGATTCATCTGCTGGTTGGATGTTACTCAAACATTGGATAGAAACATTCATTGATACCGAACTATCAAACACATGGTTACCATCGATCAAGAAGCTTTTTATATTAAATGCAGACTATTTCCAACATTACTTCATTAAATCATTTTTTCCACCTTTGATTTCTGTTAGCAATACATTACAATATTTGCATCTGGTATTTGAAACACCTACGTTCTATTATCCTTCAGTACTCTCCGAACTAATTCGTCATCATATATCAGTTCATACTATGATATTAGAAGTTGAAAACGGTATGTGATTATATATATTCTAGAATAAAAATTCAAGATGCGACTGACTAAATATAATAGCTATAATAATAGAGTATGATTTTCGAACATATTATTCAAAAACTCTTATTTTATTAATAGATTTCAAATAATCCTTTAACTTAGATTGTATTTATGTTTTAAATTAAAAAATGTTATCGAAAGAAATATTTAAAAACAACATCTACATCAATATAGAATAAGTTAAAATAATAAATTATATGTCAGTTATAATTTAATTGAAAATTTTTGTTTATTAATATGTTATGTTTTCTAAAACCTATGATATTTCAATTCGAAACGAGTTTTCATGAAAAAGACAATGTTCTATTTCAATAATGAATTAGAGATTAGAGATTATCTCATGGATATAATTGATCCTTCTTTGTATTTTTATCTATCATATGGAAAAGAATACAACTTCTCGAATTGAGAATATAAAATTTAGTTGAAATAGCTTTTCTACTCATTATTTATTGATTTTACTTATAGGTCATGAATTCTATCCGAATGAGCTGAAGAAAGATTTACACAATATGGAATCATTATATTGGCCAAATACAGTTCAATTAACATTAAGTATTCAATATCCCAGCGAACTTGTTCTTCTATTGAAACGTGACGCTCTACCTGCAATTGAACATTTAAATATTACCAATGAGCAAATACATACTGTTTTCCCATTACGTCGATATATACCAGTATCAAATATTCATCTTTGTGATTATAATCTGCGTGAAATAGCTGATGGTACTCGCTTGCGATCTTTACTCTTACGTTATTTATCTCTCAGCGATATTATTCTATTGATTGGCTCATTAACCATGCCTTTGCTTGAAAAATTAATACTCATTGATTTGTATGATGATAGTAAGTTATCATTTGATGTTTTTCTTCGCTTTTTCAACTGGGATTATTCCAGTTCATTTCATATGATAGATCGAATCATAAATTCAACTTTAGAGATGAAAGATAGTTGTGATATATATGAAAAAAAAACATTTTTCTCGATAATCTAATTCATTCTTTTCCTTATTCATCATATCGAAATAAATTCGAAAGTATTTATATGAATATATTCTCTTTCTCGTAGAGAAGAGTCTTGCAAACATAAATTGTCTGCTTGATTGTATGTCCGCACAAGGTCAAAAAAACATTTTATTGGTATTTTCTATAAAACTTAACCACAGGGTAATCGGAGTCGAGGAACTCGAATCTGATGTTTGTTTTTCAAAATTTTTTTTGCGGATCATTTTTTTGCACAAAAAACCACTTTTTTTACAAAAAAATTTTTTTTNGCTAAATCTGTTTTTACGTCCATCATCACAGAAAAGTGCTTAAGCTCGTTCAATTTATTGAAAAATAAAATTACCATTATTTTTTGATTCCTCACTTTCACAGGGATCACACACTAAAACATGTAGTAATTAGATGGTCAATGAGGAAACGTCAATGTCTCTATAGATGAAAATCTAAAGATAGTAGGATAACTTCCAACCGATTTCTTGTCAAGCTGTACTCTAAAAAAACGGTTTTTCAACAAATCAGAAAAGAATCCTCCCCTGGAAACACGGAAAGATCCTTTTTCAGTTCCGCAGAAAAAAGGTTTCGTATCAACGGTGTCGCACCACACCTTTTTACCAAATCGAAAAGACTGTGGGTGTGAGTATGGACATGGGAAAAAATCACGCCCACACTCACACTTAATTCAAAAACACTTCCAAAGTAAATGAAACAAAAAAAAATAAAATTTGTAGTATTCAAATTAAAACACTGTCAAAATTCATATTTAAAAAACAATCTAGGCCTGTCTGAAATTTCATTCTAATCGTTTTTTCACAAAAGATCTCTTTTTCCTACTGATTGACGAAGTATGAATTATGTTATTGTTGAGATCGATTTGTTTAATGTTCCATTCAGATCTTTCCTAGATTGAATTCTATTCTCAGATTGCTAGTTTTCACAAGATACATTGGAAACCTTAATTCAAAAATGAAAGATAAACAATAGAAAGAGCATACAACAAATCATCAGAGTAACTATGATATATTTATGTCGACGTGTAGACGTAAAAGTTGAATTTATTCATGATGAAATTCCTAAATCTAATTGTCTTCAAGTTTTTTAGATTTTACTTATCATTGTGTTTGATCTCATTTTGATATTTGATACTCTTTAGCAAAATACTTCTATGCTCGATTGTTCCATAAGAACCGGCTGCAAATAAAACATATTCTTCTATCGGTATTCTTTTGAATATGATTCCACAGAAAAATGATGCCTGAGTAATTTAGTTAAGCGCACGGATCAGTATTCATTTTGATCACGTATCGTTGCATAAGAAGTTCGGAATCTATTTATTATGACTTCTTCCAATTTTCATGTTGCCAATAAATTCTCGGAAAACATCATCGGATCTTTCAATTACTCAAAGCTCATAACTATATGATGTATTATCAAAACTTCTTTCATTAATAACATTTGATAGTATAATAATTGTTCAACATTCGAATGAGAGATTCTATATAATACGTGTTGTTTTGATTGTAAGTTTAAACACTCATTAGCTAGTCAAGGAATCTTATTAATTGATTTTTGCTCGAATTCATTAATGTTTCCCATGATCGGATGAATGTAAGTATTTTTCCTGTACTCAACAATATATTGACGTAGCCGATCATACGGTAGAGTCATTTTATTTAATATCTGTCGATGTTTAACTATATTTTTGACACAACAATTTTGAACTCATTCATGACACCTAAAACTTCGTGCCGTTTTACTACATATAGCACAAAGTGATGTTTTTTCCTGTTGACTGCGTCATGTATGTATACTGCAGGTGACAACAAACAAATATCAATTAATTACGTACAAGAAAAACGAAACGAAATATTCTTCAATATATATCATTCCTGCAGCGTGTCGAATCTAATGTCCATTAAACTATAAGACAGGTGAATATTTTTTTTTGAGTAACTCTTAATAAAAACAAGATAGAAAGTTGCGGTTTTCACTTTTACAAAAAAGAGATAAAGACGTATCCAATAATATATTACAGCTGTTAATTCTTCTATCATTACTCTTAACATTGGTTTATCATTCCTTTTACTCCAAACTAAAATGAAAAAGAGAAAAAAAAAGCACGTTATATATAGATATATATTTCGAAAACATCCCATCTTCCTTACACACAGTGGCATACCGATTATGTTTCTCTTCTTCGATACTAATGAATCGAAAAAGAAGAGAGGCGAACACACTAGAACAAACAAACTATCTAAGTATAGGTATATCATGGTCGCTGGTCATCACAACAGGTCTTTTTGGATCTGATCATTTTGACAATTAACGCACTCTGTGAGATGACTACAGTGAATTTTCAATTGTCAAATATGTATTCGAATATCGTTCAAGAGTTACAGCTATCTAATTTCTATTAAAAAAAATGTTCACCGGCTTTTTTTCAATAGGCATGAGTACTTAAATGATATTAATTAAGAAAAAAGTGTTGATTTTCGAGCATGACTTAAACCTTTTTTCTTTTAAATAAAATTGTATATATAAAAAAAGGTTTTTTTTTTTCTTTACAAAACAGAAAAATATTAGATTCTGTTTAATCCCAGATAAAGACAAAGCTTGAATAAAATACATAGACTGTAGCGACATCATTTGACACAAAGAAATTCAATAACCTATCTGATTGGTACTCATTTCTCCGGGAACAGACAAAGATCGTTCATTCATATTAGACAAAGAACTTGGTCGTTCGTTGAATGACCGTTCTTTCTTTCAATACTTTTGTTCAACGAAATCACTTCTTCTTTCTTTATTCATATAGAAAAAAACGTTTCTTTTCTTTTTTTTTTTGCAAGATTAAATTTTATGATAAACGTAATTTAATTTATTTCAAATCATGCTTCAACATTTATCCGCTACTAGTCCTTATATTTGGTTCGTTAACAATGTTTTTTTTTCTCTTCTTGCTTTATTAAAAGTTTTCATATTCTAGTGATTTAAGTCGTGGGCCTATTGAATCAGCAAATCGTATGGCATCGACACCTACAAAAAAAATAACCGTCTTACTCGAACAAAAAGAAAGTTTTCCGAAAGTAATTCACCAATTCAATTTTATCTTATAAAATTTTTCAAAATGTTTTTCTATTAGACACGTACACCACTTAAACTTCTTGGACCGGATGAAATACCAATCGATAGTACAATAACGACAAATGATATTAATGCTAGTCTTCAACCTGTTTGGTATACAGAACAAACTATTGTTGATGATCATCATGTACAACAAGAAGATAATATTTCAACAATTCAAGATAAATCTCGAACAACTTTAACACGTTCAACATTACCACTAATACAAAGTGAAAGTCCATCAATAAGTGAAGATGATGAACTTTCATCATCAAATCAACCATCATTAATGCATAAATCATCAACATTTACAATTGAACCATCAATGAATGTTGATTCACAATTAAATGATATAGAAAAAGAAAATCTTAATAATGATGATAAAAAATCTTCAATAACTGAACCATCTGATGAATCATTTCGTGCACTTGAACAACTCTTAGGTCTTGGTTCATCAACAACTATTCGTGAATCACCAAAAACAAATCATGATACACTTTCATTAACTGTTGTTACACCAACTGATATTATTAATGCAACAACAACATCATTACGTATGAGTTATGCACCAAAAACTACAACAGATAATTTACCATCATCACAAGATATTCCAATAATGCCAACTATTGAAAGTATAAATACAACAAATCCACCATCATTTCTTGTGGATAATACTATAAATGAAGATGAACAAGCATCAACAACAATAAATCAACAAAATTCATTTGATAGTACTGAAAATAAAACAAATACAGATGATGAATCAAGTTTTTCATTTGAATTAAATGATTTTTCTAATAATTCAAAAGCTGAATCAACTGTTAATGTTCCTGAGCCAAGTCAACCAATGATTACGATTCGTGCACCAACATGTGCTGATGTTGCATATCGTGCTTTAATTAAACCACGATCAAGTGCAAGAATATCTCAACCAGTTAAAGTTGATTCACCATTAGCAGTATCAAGTAATAAAATATTTCTTTGTTTTAACTTGCATAAAGATAAAATCTCTTCTAGATAAACCTCGTTCATCAGCTCCAGCATCACGTATTCTTCGTTCAAGCTGTCGTCGTATATCTACTGATTCTTCGTCACAAAATTCTATTGTTCAAGGTAATCATTCATTTAATAGAAAATTTTCATTTTACATGTTTTTTGAAACAATGTAAAACGAACATTGAAGTATAAGGCTAATAGTTTCAAAGCTTTCCTAATAGATGCTCGTCACGGACTGAGCAGAAGCTACTATAGATCAAGAAAGACACTAAACAGAGGTTATCATAAACAGTGACAGACCGTATAGGAATAACGTCTACTTATAATTTATGAACGGCTTCCTCACTGCATTCCTCAAAGATTAACCCATTGAATACAAACGACGATTATTCTCATTCTGAGATTTCAAACTCTGAATAGTTCTTGAAAACATGATCTGTTGATTAATCAATGGTATGAATGCACGGATAATTGCGCGGTTAAGATACATTGTGCTTTTAAATGATTTTTGTTTTTTTTCAGCAACCAGCAGATAATCTCAGAATCCCAAATCTGACGAGAAAATGTCCTCAATCAAGCGACGTCGTTTTCAATGATATATGCCGGGAACAGTATTCTAAGAAAAATCCAACGACGGTTTGTGCCGCACTGAAACTTTTAGTTTGCTCTTATGACCATAAAGGCAAAATTTCACATTGAAATCCGTTGTTCAGTTTTTCCTTTTATGCCTTATACAAAGCGGAAAAATCAGTGAAATGATCTTAACCTTTGAAGATAGCCTCATTATCCCACACTGTTGTTGGGTGTTTCTTGGAATACTGTTCTCGACATATGAACAAAAGATTATTGAAAATAACATGAATTAGTAAGAGATCTTTGCTTGTGTGTAGGAGAATTTTCGTCACCAGTACTAAAAAGGTTAAATAAAACAGTTTCCCTGTGATTATCATGTGCAGCTACATCATGTTTTACATTTTAGTTCCACAAGAATTGTACTAATAGTTTTTGTTTTTCTAGAACAATCACCAGCAAATAATGAATGTTTTGTTAATAATGAAAATAACTTAAATAGTGAAAAACAAAATGAATTTGTCGAAATTGTTAGTGTACCTGAAGAAGATGAAAATGAACAAGAAAAAACAAATTCAATTACATTAAATCTTACTTTATCAAAACCAACTGATGAAATAAATCAAAATATGTCAATTCAATCGGAACAAATTTCTACACCAGTTAAATCATTAATGTCATTATTATCACGTGAATATACATATAATACACCAAAACGTCGTTCATCTCAACGTCGTCGTTCAATGTTAAATTCTTCATTAATTCCAACCGAACAAACAATCATAAATGAAGAAGAATATAAATCACCATCAATACCATCAAAATCAATGTTAAATATTCTTTTAACAAAACCAACTGAAACAGAACAAAAATCAATAACAGATTTAAATACACTTTCACCTATTCAATCAACAACGAAATCTCCATCAATTGCTTCAAAATCAATGTTAGGAATTCTTTTAACAAATCCAACTGATAACGAACAAAGTGTTTTACAAGAAACATCAATGAGATCATCATTAAATCGTATATCAACACGTAAAAGTAAACGTTTATCAACAAATTTAACACCAAGAGTTAGTATTAATCCACTTCATTCATCAACACCATCAACAACAAAACGACATAAATCTTTACAAATGGTTTCGATTGGAGAACAAGAACAAGTTTCAACAACTGTTCCACAAGAAATCAATAATGATACTCAAGAAATTGAAATAATACCACTTAATAAAACCGAAGAAAGTATTCAACAACCAAAAGTTCCTCGTACAATTGAAGCAGGTGTTCAAACAACTCCAAGTCTTAATACTTCATCACGTCGTTATTTAAATACAATTGAACAACAAATATCACCAATGGAAACAAAAATGATTATGAGCTATCAACGTAATGTACGTTTTCAATTAACACCAACAACTGATGCACGTTTAACTGAAAAAGAAAAACTTGAAGAAAATTTACGTGGTTTAAAACCAGATATTGTCATTAATCCAATACCAATTATAACTCAACCTAAACAAGAAAATGTTAAATCTATTCGAACGAAAAAAATTTCTAAACCAAAAAAGAAAGTATTTACACCCAAAAAGAAAACAATCGTATCAGTAAGTTTTCATCTATGTTTTTTTCGTTAATTATTCAATTCTTCTTTTTTTAAATTTTATTTAGAATAAAAAAACACAAGTAAAAAAAGCTTTAAAACGACTTTCACCAACAAAAGTTTTAAACAAAAAACCTGAACGTACTCTAACAAAAAAACGTTCGCAACGTAAACGACCAAGTAGTCATGAAGTAACAATCGAACCAACTGCTAAACGAACTAAAACATCAAAACCAATTGAAAGTAAATCTTTAACATACTAATCTATAAACATCTCGTCTACTATTTTATTTAGTTTCTTTACCATCATTGACTCCACCAAAAGCACGAATTACTCGAGCAATTAATAAAAAAAATAAATCTGAATCAATCAAACGACAAGCTAAACCATCAACTGTTCCAAAAACTAATAAAAAAAATAAATCCGAACAAAAACAAAATACTTCCACAAATAATAAATCTGAATTAGTTGTACAAAAACGACGTACTTCGAAAAACAATAAGCCAGAATCAATTGAACGACAACGAAGTACATCCGCTAAGAATAAATCTGAATCAAATACTTTGGAAAACAATAAAACTGAACCGGTTAAACAAAAACGAAATGCTTCAAAAAAGAATCAATCTAAACCAACTACGGAAAACAAGAAACCTGAATTGGTTGAACAAAAACGACGTACTTCGAAAAAGAATACATCAGAACGAATTTCTCCGGAAAAGAACAAACCCGAACCAGTTGAACAAAAACAACGTACTTCAGAAAAGAATAAATTCGAATCAGTTAAACAAACACGAGGTGCTTCGAAAAAGAAGAAATCTGAACCAAGTGTTGCAGAAAATAAACCTGAACCAATGGAACGAAAACGACGTACTTCAAAGAAGAATACAACAGAATCAATTGTTCAGGAACAGAAGCAACTCGAACCAGTTAAACAAACACGTAGTGCTTCAAAAAAGAATAAATCGGTACCAAGTACTTCGGAAAATAAACCTGAACCAATTAAAGAAAAACGAAGTACTTCGAAAAACAAAAAATCTGAGCGAAGTGTATCAAAAAAGAATACATCGAAACCAATTGAACGACCAGTAGAAATAACTAATGAACCAAAAACTACAGAATTAATAATGAAAACAAGAAAACGTCGATTAGAAAGTGTTGAAAAAAATGAAGATTCAAAAAAGAAAGTTGAAATTCAAAATATTGAATTAAATCAAAAGGAACAACAAAAAGTAAACACAAAGGTTTTTTAGAATTTTAATATTAAATTTTTTTATATAAAATAGATTGACGAATTAACGGTTGCTGAACTTAAATCTCGATTAAATAAACATAAGGAAGATATACCAAAAAATGCAAAGAAAGCTGATCTTATCGCTTTACTTATGAAAATAGAAACAAATTTACTTAAACGTAAGTTTTAATTTAAAATGAGAATATCATTTTGTATTTGATTATCTTTTATAGAACGAAAACAAGTTGAAACACCAATTGTTAGAACAACCCGCCGACACAAGAAATAAATTTCTTGTTCAATAGTTCAATTTATTTTTTATTATATTATTGCATTTCGTCATTGTTAATATTCAATTATTTACTCTAGATGTTTGTTTTGTATATTTTGTATAGATATTCATGTATATCCTATTGAGCTTGAGTTATTAACTTGTTTGTCTATCTATATTAGATTTAGTTTTGTTGCTTATCTTGATTGAAAAACAAAGTCAATAATATTGTAGCTATATTTTGTTTTTCTTCGTTGTTGTTGTCTTGTGTGTTTGAATATCGTCTTTGTTTTCTGAAAATAATGTATTATTATACATGACATGATCTAATAAATTTAGCTTGATTATGAGCTGGAACAAAAACAAAAAACGATCGACAATTATGTTGTGTTTATGGAATATTGAATTTAAAAAAAAAAGAGCTTTTGTCTGGCTGATAATGATAAAGAAGAGAGATCGATAATTATTGAACTTAACCCCTTCAAGAAAATTGATTTCTTCTATGTTAGAACAATTTGATAGGATGTCTGAAAACATATCCTGAGAGATCTTGTCATATAGCACTTATCTGTGTTGTAGGTAAGTACAATGAAATAGTGAATGGCCGTCATATGTACATTGAACTCGACTGTTGATGATAGTCACCTCTTGTTTTACACCAATCTCATGAGCAACCGAGCTATTCTTAAATGGTTTGATAGCACTTCAAGAAATTCAAAATGATGTAAAAGTATCGAGTAAAGAGTATTGGCTAATCAAATTAATCCCAATAATATTGTTCTCGAGACAAAACGATGAGGCTTCTTTGACTAGTATACAGTAGGTTTCGATAAGCAAATCATGAATTCAGTGAAAGCTAATATGATATTTTGAATTTTACCTTCAAAATGGAGTGGACTTGCTAGTATTTCAAATCGAAAAGTTCAACGCTGGTTCCCTCAGAGTTGCGTCAAAAAATGAATTTCATGAAAACTTTGTTTTTTTTTTTATTATTCGTTGTGGAATTCTATTATCGTATTCTAACCTTAGAGGTTGATTCCCACTAGGAAACTAACGTTCTTACGCAACAACTCTGAAGGAATCAGGGAGGACTTTTTCAACGGAAAAATGTTCACGAAAATATTCGAACCTCAAGTAACTCCAATCAATTTCAGAATGTCATATTAGCTTTTACCCAAATCGTAATTTGCTGAATGAAATCAACTGAATATCAGAAAAGACAATTTCAAAATCTTGTATCAAGAACAATGTTTTTGAGATATCTACTTAGGGTTATCCAAAAGTAGTGTCGGAGGCACCTTACTTTCTTATAGAAGGCTTGAGGAAGTTTTCTTTTTTTATAGGATGATAGAGAAAAAAATTCTCTATTTTTCTATGCTATTTGATCACTCTTCAACTAATAACATAATAATAGAATTTCGATAGAAACTCTTTTTGTTGAAAACTTAACTATCGATTGAACCAGATTAAATGGTTATGATTTGCATTTCAATTTTTAATCACTTAACACGTTGTATTAGAAAATATAATATGCCACAATATGCAGCGTGAAAAGCTCTACAATTTACATACGACCGCTTGTTTTATAATTGCACTTTTTCTTTTCAAAATGAACAAAATTTTGAGACAACAATTTTTGATCGCAGGAAAACGATATTTTTTGGTACAAGTTGAATTCATTTTTGCTTATTACATTCTTTTATCACCTAATATCTTTTATTTTAAAAAAACAAATTACATAACAAGATGCACCATGAAAAGCTCTACAATCTACAAAGTAAAGCTATTTTTAATTGTTCACTTCTTGTTTTCAAAAAAAGCAAAATTTTATGCGATTGTTTTTCTTGGTCGCAACACACAATTTTTTTCTGTATAAAGAGAAATTTCTTTTTTCTTATTTCAGTTATGAAACAAGCGGTCTTATGTAAATTGTAGAGCTTTTCACGCTGCATATTGTGGTATATTTATTTTCTAATACAACGTGTTAAGTGATTAAAAACTGAAATGCAAATCATAACCATTTAATCTGGTTCAATCGATAGTCAAGTTTTCAACAAAAACAGTTTCTATCGAAATTCTATTATTATGTTATTAGCTGAAGAGTGATCAAATAGCATATAAAAATAGAGAATTTTTTTCTCTATCATCCTATAAAAAAAGAAAACTTCCTCAAGCCTTCTATAAGAAAGTAAGGTGCCTCCGACACTACTTTTGGATACCCCTAAGTAGATGATAAAAAAAAGAGATACAAATACTGGCCATTGATTATGGGACACCGTTAACTTCGATAGTTGGGTATTTTTTATGAGTTAGATAATCTTCATTTAATTTTTTTTCTTATCTTTCTACAGAAATAAGTTTGATTATGATTTTGTAGAGAATTTCACGACGCATCTTTTGGAAAAACAATCAGCTTTAAAGATCAAAAAGAAAAAAAGTTATAGTCAAAATACGGATGGGATCAGAACTTATGACACACCCTTTATGTAACAGAGAGTACAGATTAATTACAGCTAACAAGAAAGAAACTATATTTTGATTTCTCAAATAAAATTTTCTATTTGAGTAAATTATTTTGAAGACGAATGTTTTTCTCGTTGAACAAATACAGCATCAGGTTGAATAACAAGTCTTTCTTGTCGTTTTAACCCCTCTTTAATTTTATCCCTGAGCAATATTTGATATTGTTGTAGTAATTGAATTAAACACATTTTCAATTCAATTAAAGTAAATCACATCCTAATACAATTTATCGGGCCAACTTCAAAAGGCATCCAAGCAACATGATGACGTTTTACTTCATGCCGTTCTGGTTTATACAGATTTGGATCTTCAGGATCCCATAAATCTGGATTGTAATGAATAGAAAACACATCGGATTGCATGATACTACTTGAGACGAATAGTCAATTAAAAAGACAAATGGTAATTTCTATAATGAAACCTTTTTGAAGTCTATGACCACGGACAGTTGTCGTCGTATTACATTCACGTGTTATTGCTTTTAATAGTTATTAGATACATTCGAAGAACTTCACGTNAATAGCATAGAAAAATAGAGAATTTTTTTCTCTATCATCCTATAAAAAAAGAAAACTTCCTCAAGCCTTCTATAAGAAAGTAAGGTGCCTCCGACACTACTTTTGGATACCCCTAAGTATATGTGATCAGTTTTTATCTCGATGTGTTTATGTCATTTTGAACTTCTTGAAAGGTGCTGTCAAATCATATGAAAATAACCCAGTTGTTCATGAAATTGATAGATAACAAGAGATGATTATCATCAACAGTTGGATCCAATGTACATGTGATGGTTATTAACTATTTCAATCAACCTTTTAAATGCTAAAAAGTACCATATGACTAATTCTATCAAGGTTCACTGTCAGACATCTAATGCAATAGTTTCACATTGTAGAAATCAAATTTCTCATGAGGACCAATGTCAAAAATTATCGACTCCATTCTTTTAAGTCTATTCAAACAAATAGAAATGAGAAGTAATAGAGTGATTATCCAAAGAATCAATTTTACTATTTGATGATAAGTTTTCATAAATACTGTCTTTTTTTTTGTGAATAACGCTATCGATTCTTTTCCGTTTTTGATTCATAAGTATAAGCTACGATATTATCGTATTGACATTTTCTCATTCATCTATGTCCATAGTTATGTTGATATGTCAATTTAGTGGCATAAGTATATTTCTCCAGAGAAGATAACTAATCATATAAGACTCATTTTTCTCTTTCAATTACTGCCAATGTTTGACTTTTTATATAAAAGTACACTGTTAGTCCAAAGATCAACTAGAAAATTAATTATTTTAGTACATTCAAATGTATACCTCTGTGAAATAAGACTAGTAAAGACTTCTAAGCTACTCTATAAACATGGAGGAATATTTTCATTTCTTTCCGACTTGATGCACAAATCAACATAACAGAGAAAAATAAGCATACTCAAAAAGAAATTTGCTTAGTTCTAATCAACTGAAAGCTTTTCGATCGTCTAAATCAATACCAACAGTAGGTTTTCTTTTTTTCTAAATAGAGAATCGAAACCATAAGCAAGCAAAATAAAGTGAAGATAAATAAGACATCAATTGAAAAATCAATCATTGTATATAGGTGTGAGTGTTAGTCTGCTCTTCATTTATTCTTCTGAATGTGATCGACTTATTCTGATCATTAGTAATAATTGATTAGTTCGACACGTAGTTTCTTAAATTGATTAATTAAAACAAATCCCATCCATCTCTGTGCCTATTGTATAGATAAAGAATCTAATAAACAATGGATGTGAGCTTTTTTCTAAACTATGACATTTCTCAGATTGATTTTTTTTTCTAAAAACTTTCCCACCGTTTAGATTAAAACTATGATAGTTTGACTTGATGCTTGCATTGTTCAAATGAAAACAGATTAGAAAAATCGATAAAAAACTAAAGAACTATTTTCAATTCATTGTTTTTTTTTTTGGATTGATATAAATCATTATAAAGTATTACTAGTTACGAATGACTCAAATAGTTTCGATGATTTTTCAGTTCATATTATTTATTATCAAAACTAGTCTTCATTGTTGACAACAAAAACGTTTGTGAATGTCAATACATTTAACACTTTTGTCGATAAATTGAAAGTTTTGTTTATGGTTGAATAAATCTTTCATTTAATGAATATTCATTAAAATAACAAGAAACAAATATGAATAATTCGAATGTAGTTATGTCATTATGAAGCAATCGCAAAGATATAATAATGAACACGATGAGTTTCGTTGGCTAAGCATTTTACTACATTCGACGAACAAATATATTTGAATAGAGAAACTGTTTTACCGTTTATTCACTAGATTCCTATCGATCCATCACAAATCAAAATGTACACATACTCATTTAACCCTTTGGCTCCCGGTTTTTTTTTGTGAAAATCCAAATTTTTATACGAAATGTTTAAATATGGTTTTTAGTTATTTTTTGAAAGAAATTGCATTTCTATGTCAAAGAAGCATTA